TCATTGGCCCACAATCTCATGCCAAGTCAGAGTCACAATATGCATATATTTTAAAGTCATGAATTGACAATATCGTTATACAATAACAATTTAGAATCGAAAGTAATTCCAAGCATGTTAACCACTTCCAAAGGTTTGTGAAAATTATTATCATGTATAGTGTTCTTAATTTCCCTCAAGTAAAGGGTCAGTCTATTCATAATCCGAAGGTAGTCTTCATTTGTATTATTCACAAATATAGATTTTTTTTGATGGTGACTATGCATGGATAACGTTATTGATTTTCAAATTATTTTTGTACGCCCAGATCAAAACCTGTTGACATGTAATTTCTGCAGTTAACTTCAAATTAGTTGTCAATGATTAAAATGTTGGAATCTTCCACATAAAAGTTGCATATGTTTTGGGTGATTTTTTGATTAATGAAATTAGATCACTGGCAAAAACAATATACAGAAAAGGACCTAAAATTTGAAAAGTTTAAGAGGTTGGTTGGCATCTTTACCTATACCTTGAAAGTATGACAAAATAATCAATTTTCTAAACTTGCGTTGTAGACTTTTGTGTTCCCAGATGACTTTGGCTGCCGAACAATGACAAAAAACTTATTTTGAAATTTGAGAAAAAAATCACACACAAAAAAAAGTTTCAATGTCTGTAACTATATAATAACCTGTCAGAATATTTTTGCCTTATATGTGTTAAGTTATTTTATAAGACCCTGTGTAAGTATCCCTAGAGAAGTAATTGTTGATGTTTTTAACAATTAGAAGGGAGAATATATGCCAGTTGGAGAAAAATATATTTTGACTGGAAAAAAGTTATTTTTGCTTATTATTGAGACTGTTCAGCACAGAACTAAACAAGGTTTATAAGCTAATACAGATGTTCAAGAGGATTACAAAAAACAAATTATTTACTCATTGGAAAAAATATATTTGATGTCTCAAAGTCAAAACGTGAATAAACTTGGTGATAATTACATCTAACAGATTCAAAGCATATTACATAATGCAAAAATACAAAAATATATGTATATTCAATCTGAGCATGGAATGCTGCACCACAAAAGCATGTCAACATTCAGAAATACATTCATTACCTAACCTTGCAAATTGGAACACACTAGAGACAAAAAAAAAAGTTAAGTAAATCAACATACGAAAAATAATATGCGACCCACATGTTCATCTTCAAAATTATTCATCCTCAGTTTTAGAAACTTCCAACTCTCTTATCTTAATTGTTACTTCTTCACACTCTCCACTATCAGACGCATTATCTTTACTCTCGTCATTATCTTCACCTTCTTCTGAAGTATTTCCTAGATATTGCTCTCCTTTACCGTTATAAAGATCACATTCTGTGGCTACAATGTTTTGGGCTTCTTCAAACTTTGATTTGAATAGTGCTGCATCTGAAAATGGACAAATATAAATAGAAACTGTAATTAATTGTGGAATTTTGACTAGATTCATGAAGTCATTCAGCGTTCTATGACAATTGGTTGATGAAGTACTATTTCAGAAGTTTTTTTGTAAATAGCAATTAATTTGAGATATGTGGCCCTCAAACAAAAAGACATTTCAAATAAAAGAAGTAAAGTTCGTGTCAAAAGAACACTTTGGTTTCATATATATATATATATATATAT